TTATACTAGTATCATATAATCGTATGGCATGTTATTCCATACATCTCAATTAGGTGCCACATTTCTTAGTTGTCACTATAGTTGTGTCTGAAATGCAAATCTAAAGAAGTAAAAACTCATCTTTACTCTTCATTTTAACTAAAATTGACACTATACTAATGAATGCAAATAGAGTAGAGTAACCAACAAAATTTCTTTTACTACATTGAATATGACCTAGAACTTTATGCAAAAAAAACATGATTCTTCATTAACAAGATCCGGCTCCAATATACAATCTCCGGCAGATATGAAAATCAACAAAAACTTCCTCAGCCTCTTCTAGAAGAGAGGCTTACTCTCTTACTGACACGTCCCGTCTCTTTTAAAAAAACAAAACCTTAACTAAAACCAAAAATCGGTTACTCCGCAGCAACCCAAACAATTTTTTAAAATAAACAAACCAACCTCATTTAAGAATTTTTAACGAAAAACCCCAACACTTGGGCAAAATTCTCAATCTCAAACACTTAAAACTACTTAACACAGAATCTCTAGTTTATACTAATAACCATGAAATAGAATAATTAACTAATCTAACTTGACTCCTCACGAGCTTTCCGATATCCCGTCGACGCTGGTACTGCTGCTCGCCTCGCCCTGCTTCTTCTCGTAATCCACTTCTGCTAGACTATCCTCAACCTAGTGAGTGAGAAGGGGCCAGTCCCGTCGTTTCTTCCTTAGGTCTTTCCCCTAGGAAAACTCCTTACTAAACACATTATTAGGGGAATGCCTTCCTTAGATGAAAGTAGTTCTCACTTTCATCCTTTAAACTTTACTATCAAACAGTCTATAAGAGATCTCTACTCCTATCTTATCTTTAGAATTCCCTTACTTATATTCTTAATCCATAAACACCAACACAAGGGACCACCGCGTTACGTCTCGCCGTCCGGTGTCCCTACCCTAGTATGCCAACCGCGTTACGTCTCGCCGTTCGGTTGCGTACCCAAACTCGGCAATGGCACTGCATTACGTCTCGCCGTCCAGTCCATGCCCGTCAACTACTGCGATACGTCTCGCCGTATAGTAGTGACCCAACCGCTCGGGGGTTCCTCATACCATAAATCCATACAACATCACATACATCCATACATGGCACAACGCGTGCCTCCACCCTTACAGGCGGTGGGATGTCTCACACACATATCGCGCACACTAGAAAAATTAACTAACTAATAACTTGAACGAAAAGCGGAAAGTAAAGGACCTACGACATAGATTTTACCCCCTTTACACTCACCTCTTTAGTCGCATCAACGTCTGCATTCTCATGCTCAAACCCCGAAAAGCGGAAAGTAAAAGACCTACGACAGAGATTTTACCCCCTTTACACTCACCTCTTTAGTCGCATCAACGTCTGCATTCTCACGCTAAAGCCCAACGCGTTTTTCCTCTTTTGGCTCCTCCTCTATCGGTTCATCGTCTTCCTCTTCAACGACCCTAACCATTGGAGCTCCGCCGCCATTCTCTTCAAGGTCCCTTTTCGAGCCAAAATTCAGCGGCCAACTTCGAACTGCCGACACCCCGGGTCGTCTAGGAGGATAGGGTCGGGGCCTCTCCATCACTTTACCCCCGCCAGTTGCGATCACCAATGTCGAGTTCTCGGCCTTCCTTCCGCCTCTAATAGACGCGGCTCTTCCCCTCCTACAAATCGGTGTGAACCTCTTCATCACGCGAGACTACGAAGTTCGATCGGCTGCTAACTTTCTCGCCTTCTTTCCCTCCTTAGCCGGATTATCCCAAGACACCTATTAATAGGAAGTTCATACTCTAAGACAACCTTTCTCGATTTAAAAGTCTCCTTTTTATCTACCTAGACACCCTCTACTCAAAGTCCCATCCTCAAACCTCACTCCAAGGTCCCTTAACCCCCTTTAAAAATTTTCTAGAAATACTCCCTTCAAAACCGACTATTTTCCAAATTATTTTTATCTTGGACGAATTTTTCACCTAACTTGAATCTTCTTATAACTTTGGACAATAATTTTCCCATATCAATCATGGGCACCTATACCTTGAAAAATTATCAAACCCTTAAAAACCCCTCGGAAAGATTTTTATTTAATTAAAATGAATATTAGTACAATTTCTAAAAAATAGAAATACATCTTCACAAATCTCTAAATTAAATTACAGCCATCTCCTAGACCTCCCTCAATTTTTAAAATTTTAAACTCGGGAACAAAACCCTCATAAAGACTCGAAACAATTTAAAACATCTAAAACAAGTTCCTGAAAATTCCCAGCAGCTTTAGTGACCACCCAAATTCTGTCACTACAAGCCTAAACGTCTGTTGCTAAAACCCCAGAATTCTACCCTCACGAAAAATCACAAAATCAATCGACCTAACTCAAAGGGATCGAGTTCTCTTACCTCTAGAATGTGCCTAGTACTAGATTGGATGACCCGGGACATTGATCTCCTTGTTGATTGAACCCCCAAACGCCACCGCTAATAAAATACGAGTTTCGGATTAGACTATCGATAAATCGAGTTTAGCAATCGCGAAGGGGTTCGTGATCCTTACCTAGAAACACGAAAGGGATGGGATTCGGATTGGGATCGGGATCGGCAGCTCCTTTTTCTTTTCCTCTCGTCCATGATAAGGAGCAGGGGTGGCGCTTATTTCCTTGGGCAAATTATTGGAGAGGGCGGCGGGGTGGGAATTGCTGCTGCTGGGGAATTATTGGCGGGGGTTGGGGAATAATAGAGAGGGCCGCTCGGCACTCTAGGTCTGTATATAATTTTTTTTAATTATAGTAATAATAATAATAGTTATTATTATTATTCCTAATCTGCGGTTGTAACTCTTAGTACTTAACCTCTGTTCCTTGGCCTCCAAGGAATACTGGAGTGACTATCTGCGTTTTTTTAAAGGTTTCAGTTTTTAAAAGGAAAGGAAAAAGGGAGTGTCAGTTAAAAGTTTGGCCAAACGAGTCAGAGTCTTTCGGAAATTTTTAGAATCTCCAGTATACTCTAATCATGATAAGGAAATAACTTTAGGATGCCCTATGGGGTTATGATACGTCTTGAGAAGGAGAAGGAGCAGGTCCCTAGAGGGATCGTTTAGTGAAACCCCTTCATGAGTGAGAAGAGGAGGGTCAAGGTAGCTCATATTTTATGGGGATGTGAGCTGATCATAATAAGGTTATGGAAGGAGCCAAGCAGTTAGTACATCGACTGGTAGAGCCAAGAGTTATGGGAAATGTCGTCATAAGCGAGAGGAAAGGGTGCAAGGAAGGGTCGTGGATTTCAGGAGAATTGAACATAGGGCTAAAACCCCAAGGAGCAGCTGAAAGTTAGACTTTGAAAAATACTAGGGCCACCTAAGCAAGCAAAGGAAGAACTAAGTATATCATAGGGAGCCTAACAAGATGTCATGGGATCAATACATCAAGGCTAGAAGGAGGTACAACTCCTTGCAAAGAGATTATCACAAATGAAACTTGGAGTCTTCACAACGAACAAATTTCGAGGTCGAAATTTTTCTTAAGGAGGGGGGAAATGTGATGACTCGATTTTGGATTTAGGTTCAACATCAACTACCAGGAGAATTGGATCAACATGACAAGCCAAATTGGCATTGTGTTTCACCATGTTTGGACCAAGCTGGGAAGTAAAAAGGGTAGTGAGACACTTATTTGAGCAAAAGGTACCAACGAAGTTGTTATAGTAAGAATGGATGATCGTGGGAAGGAAGTATAAGAAGGGTGTTAATAGAAGGATGAGTTCCAAGCAAATTTCAGGGACCAAATTTTTTATAAGGGTGGAGGAAATGTAACACCCTGATAATTTAGATTTAGGTTCGACCCTAATACGTGATCGGTTGGATTGACAGTTAACTACTAAGAGTTGTAACCGCGGATTAGAAATAATAATAATAACTATTATTATTATTATTACTATAATTAAAAAAAAATTATATACGGACCTAGAGGGCCAAGCGGCCCTCTCTATTATTCCCCAAACCCCCGCCAATAATTCCCCAGCAGCAGCAATTCCCACCCCGCCGCCCTCTCCAATTATTTGCCCAAGGAAATAAGCGCCGCCTCTGCTCCTCATCACGGGCGAGAGGAAAAGAAGAAGGAGCCGCTGATCCAGAACCCAATCCAGATCCCAATCCGAATCCCATCCCTTTCGTGTTCCTAGGTAAGGATCACGAACCCCTTCGCGATTGCTAAACTCGATTAATCGATAGTCTAATCCAAAGCTCGTATTTTATTAGCGGTGGCGTTTGAGGGTTCGATCAACAAGGAGATCAACGTCCCGGGTCATCCAATCTAGTACTAGGCACATTCTAGAGGTAAGAGAACTCGATCCCTTTGAGTTAGGTCGATTGATTTGGTGATTTTTGTGAGGGTAGAATTCTGGGGTTTTAGCAACAGACGTTCAGGCTTGTAGTGACAGAATTTGGGGGGTCACTAAAGCTGCTGGGAATTTTCAGGAACTTGTTTTAGATGTTTTAAATTGTTTCGAGACTTTATGGGGCTTTTGTTCCTGAGTTTAAAATTTTATAAATTGAGGGAGGTCTAGGAGATGGCTGTAATTTAATTTGGAGATTTGTGAAGATGTATTTCTATTTTTAAGAAATTGTTCTAATATTCATTTCAATTAAATAAAAATCTTTCCGAGGGGTTTTTAAAGGTTTGATAATTTTCCAGGGTATAGGTGCCCATGATTGACATGGGAAAATTATTTTCCAAAGTTATAAGAAGATTCAAGTTAGGTGAAAAATTCATCCAAGATAAAAATAATTAGGAAAATAGTCGGTTTTGAAGGGAGTATTTCTAGAAAAATTTTAAAGGGGGTTAAGGGACCTTGGAGTGAGGTTTGAGGATGGGACTTTGAGTAGAGGGTGTCTGGGTAGATAAGAGGAGACTTTTAAATCGATAAAGGTTGTCTTAGAGTATGAACTTCTTATTAATAGGTGTCCTGGGATAATCCGGCTAAGGAGGGAAAGAAGGCGAGAAAGTTAGCAGCCGATCGAACTTCGTAGTCTCGCGTGATGAAGAGGTTCACACCGATTAGTAAGACGGGAAGAGCCGCATCTATTAGAGGCGGAGGGAAGGCCGAGAACTCGACATCGGTGATCGCAACTGGCGGGGGTAAAGTGATGGAGAGGCCCCGACCCTATCCTCCTAGACGACCCGGGGTGTCGGCATTTCGAAGTTGGCCACTGAATTGTGCCCCGAGGAGGGACCTTGAAGAGAATGGCGGCGGAGCTCCAATGGTTAGGGTGGTTGAAGAGGAAGACGATGAACCAATAGAGGAGGAGCCAAAAGAGGAAAAACGCGCGGGGCTTGAGCGTGAGAATGCAGACGTTGATGCGACTAAAGAGGTGAGTGTAATGTGGGTAAAATCTCTGTCGTAGGTTTTTTAGTTTCCGCTTTTCGTTCAAGTTATTAGTTAGTTAATTTTTCTAGTGTGCGCGATATGTGTGTGAGGCATCCCACCGCCTGTAAGGGTGAAGGCACGCGTTGTGCTATGTATGAATTTATGTGATGTTGTATGGATTGATGGTATGAGGAACCCCTAGGCGGTTGGGTCACTACTGGACGGCGAGACGTAACGCAGTAGTTGACGGGCATGGACTGGACGACAAGACGTAACGCAGTGCTATTGCCGAGTTTGGGTACGCAACCGGACGGCGAGGCGTAACGTGATTGGCATACTAGGGTAGGGACACCGGACGGCGAGACGTAACGCGATGGTCCCTTGTGTTGGTGTCTATGGATTAAGAATATAAGTAAGAGAATTCTAAAGATAAGATAGGAGTAGAGATCTCTTATAGACTGTTTGATAGTAAAGTTTAAAGGATGAAAGTGAGAACGTCTTTCGTCTAAGGAAGGCATTCCCCTAATAATGTGTTTAGTAAGGAGTTTGCCTAGGGCAAAGACCTTAGAAAGTAACGATGAGACTGACCTCTTCTCACTCACCAGGTTGAAGATAGTCTAGCAGAAGTGGATCACGAGAAGAAGTGGATCACCAGGTTGCACTTCACCATCTACACCTGATACCATCTCATCATGTTTCTTTTTCCTTGCGGAATCCAAGTCGTCGGTAGAAATCTTATCATCAACAGTTTCCATTTCTTTATCATCATCATCATCACATTGTTCATCTGCTGTGGAGTCATCTTCCGCAGAGTCCTCATCGTCATCAGCAGAATCATCACCCTCGCTGTCACTTAAGGATTTCTTTTTTCCCTCAAAGCGGACACCTGCTATTTTCTTTGGACAAGATTGTAGAGATTCTCTTGATCTTCTTCATGGAAAGCAGTTCTCTTTTATGAGTTTGAGCATCTCCTTTTTTGGATGGTTTCTTCTTGGTAGAACGAGCTCCAGGAAGACCACCAGAGACGAACCCAATTTTGTAGCCCCACCCGTCCGGAGGAGGCTCTTCAATCTCGGCCTCTGTTACAAAGTATAAAAAAAAAAATTATTCCCCTGACAATAGTTCAATTAAATACATTGGGAATGCAAATAACATCAAATGATTGAAGAAAGTAAATGTTACGTTACAAGAGGATCACCATCTTGAAATCAAGACAGACTAGATTATAGTTTGATGCCATTACCTGAAGGGTTATAGATTTGGGAAGTTGGTTCTTCTACAGAGTCTAATTCATCAGGGATTGTCGATTGCTCAGTCTTTCTAACCTGTACAATAAATTGCAGAAATGAGAAAACAGTCGAAACTATACATCTTACCTATACATTATCGTAAATTACAAAAATCCCTTCCAAATCCTTCAAAGAATAGGCAGTGACAAGCTTCCCTCTCTCTCTCTTCTTGTATCTGAAGGCCACCATGAAATACCACAAGTTCTTATTTTATAGCGGTCACCATTACGAAATTCAGGCAATAGTTCCAAACAGAGAGTCAATTGAAAATTACACAAACCTTCCTTGTGGTCGAGTAGCCTTTGCAACCGGTTTTTGAACCTCTGTAGCCACGGCCGTACCCTCAGAATCCTCTTCTTCACGACTTCTTGCAGTAGCTGTAATTAAGAGAAACTTCAGTTTACAGACGGAAAAATCCACTTCTAACTACCGAATCATACGAAAAGGTTGCTCTTGTCGCCGTACCTTCACCAGTATTCTGCACCGCTTGCTGTCATTCAACAACAAAACCAAAAATCAATATCATGAAGATACATCATGAGGGTAACCGCAAAGTAGAGTGCAAGCAAAACCAACAACTTACCAATTTCAATCTCTTCAAGATACTGTCGAATTGGGTAGTATCAAAAGCCCAAGGATTTGGCTTCTCCACTCCAACCCCTTACTCAATTCGATCCAAAGATAAGCAGGAAGACAGCAATCAATACGTGATCATCGAAAATTCGCAGAATCCAAACAAAAACAGGGGGACAAATTAGAGGAAATGGACAACCACCATTGCTAAACCTTCATTCCAATTTTCTTAATTTTATCTCCTAAGCAAACAGCAACTGAAGAAAGAGCTACATTTTCCATTCTAAACTCCCCCAAACCAGAGAGACAGGCAAACAAACAAAAGCAGGACCTGAATTCAAATAAGCTAAACAAAAATTTCCCTTACCAGCAGTATCCTGCTTGTTCTTGACTCTAACGTGGCCCTTGATCCCCTGTTTATCTTTCCCGAGCCCCTCTCCTTCTTCCCAGCAGCAGTACCATTTGTTTCATGAGCGGCAGACTTTCTGGCTACGCCGACGTAGTTGAGAGGGGCTTCGGGAGCGGCCATATTTTTCTTGTTTCACTCTCCCGTGGTTTCCTTCTTCAGCTGCGTGCGGCGGCCGCCACCGTCAGTCGGCTTACTGGACGATTGTGAGGGCAGAGCGGAAGAGAGAAATTTCAGAGAAGGAAACCTACGGGCCAAAAAGGAGAAGAATCAGGTACGTTATGCAAGTTTTGTTATCGGTAGGAATGACTAGGGGTGGTAGTTCGGTTGTCGGTTAGCGACTAATCGGTCGGTTTAATTGAAATCGTCGGTTAGCGGCTAACCAAAAATCGATGGGAAATAAGGGTCAGTCGGTGTTCGGAGGGGGAGGGATTGACTGCGGTTAGCCGAGTAACCGGAGAGAGTTAACCGCAGTTACCCGACTAACCGGAGCTAACCGACCTCCATCCCAACCAACCAGGCCACACTCCCAAAAACCCTAAACCCCACACAACATTAGACCTCCGCCGCCTCTCTCCAAAAACCCAGAAACCCTGCAGTCTTCACACCCTTCCATTCTGACTCCTCCTTTTCCCAATCTTATAGAAAAACCCCAATTCCCAAAATAAAAAACCTTCCCTTCCCTTCCATTCACCACGCGTCGCGCCTCTCCTCTCCAGAATGCCCTCCTCTTCCGAGACCAGATCGTCGGCCATTGCTCGTCCTCTTCCACTGTCGCGCTCGTCTCACATCGGCTTCTGTCATCTACGCCTTCGTCGCCTCCGCTCTTCCACTTCACCACCATCATCGCCGCAGCCTCAGGCAGCGATTCGTCCATCTCCGGCCTAGCTCTTCCCGCCGATCGCCGCTTCTCCTCGTCGTCCTTCATAGAGATAGAGAGAGGAGAGAGGAAGAAGAAGGGGTTTGGAGGGTAGCAGTGACAGAGAGGGGAGAGGAGAAGTCTGATTTTGTTTTTATTATTTTTGGGGAAAAAGGGAGGAGAGAAGAAGAAGAAGAAGAAGAGGAAGAAGAAGAAGAGGAAGAAGAAGAAGAAGATAAGGGATGTGTGGTGTGGCTTGGTTCTTCTTTTTCTTTCTTTTTAATTTTTTATTGATTAGTAGTTGGTTGGTAACGTGGGAGGAGAGCAGAAAAGAGAACGTGGGTGGGGACGTGGGGTTGGTTTTTTTTCCCTCTCAATGAACTCGGTTAATTGCGGATAACCGAGCCAAAACCGAAAATCGTTTGGTTGGTGCTCGGCTAACCGTGGATTCCCTCGCGGTCGGTGGTCGGCATGCATAAGGGACGGCTTGGTTTAACCAATAACCGGAAAATCGGTTTTCAGTTAAACCGAAACCGACCGACTGACACCCCTAGGAATGACCGGTCGAGGTTTGGTGGTTTGCGGTTTCGGTAGCTGTGGATCTGGGACCCGTTGACCAAACTTTTTCAACCAATACTAAAGCTAGACGACGCCGTTGCGGGTCCTATGCAGACTGCAATTAAGTCGGATTCTAGTCCGTCCAAGCTCCAACCTTTGGCTCTTTTTTTTTTCTTAGAAAGATGGACGTTAGTAGAGGTGGGTATGGGTGCGGTTCGCACCGTATAGTTATAAATCGCACTGTACCGCACCACATATTATTTGGACAACATCGCATGTTGGATCGTAATGTAATCGTATAGGTTAGTGGTTTGGTGCAGTTTAGACCACAGCCGCAAAGTGCTCCCACCTCTATGATTTCTTATAATTGAATAATTTTCTGAAGCAAATATATCTTATGAATTGTATCTCGATATAAATAATATGAGAATGTTATATTTAGTTCTCTTACACCATGGATGGTGATGTCCAATTTTCTATGTTAAATCTCCTTTTAATTCTCTAATATTATATTATAGATGTTTCACATTAGTTAAATTTAGTAACTCTAATTCTCTTCCTATAATCATATTTTATTTTCTACATTTTTCACTAAATATTGTAGCTTTTATAGTTCATTTATTACTTATTTACTTTCAATCTCTTTTCGTTCTAAATGTTTTTTCAATTACTGGAATATGTTTTATTCCTTATGATTTTATTTCATTTATCTTTCTTTGATTTTGATGTACTGATGATCGATTAGGTTCTATTTTAACTATTTCTAATGGTGCTTCTAATTGAATTAGGGTGTTTAAATAGATATTATAATATTAATTGTAAATATTTATTATATTCTAGTGTATATATTATTTTTCTTAATATTCGTTTAATATTTATACTAATTTATCTATTTTATAAAAAAAAATTGATTTTCCATTTTAGTAATAATACGTTGAGAAGGTTTTCTAATTTTTATATTAGATAAAACTTGTGGAAATATAGTTTTGAATGTTTTAAAAAAAATTGGGTACCAAAAAGTAATTAGAAGTTTGGGTTGGATGGAAAAGTAGACGGATGCACATTTTGTTGACTTTAATGGTACCCGACGCCCTATTCAACCTTAAGTGGTATGCCTACCCCAATTATCAGACTTAAGTGGTACCGGAGGTATTTTACCCTTACTTCATTTATTCATATAAAAACTAAGAATCTGTATAGGGCTGCAATGATTAAGTGTTATATATATTTACATTACTTCACTTATCAGCATAGTAAGAAACATAGAGAAAAGAAGCTATCAGTTTAGAAAGAAAACGTTCCTCCGAAATGGGCAGAATTATATTTTAAGTGAGAAGCGCCGCGGCTGGAAAGAATAGATCGGGTCGTGTTGTGAGAAGCCTCGCTGAATGCTGGTGGGCGACCTTCCAAGTAGGAATTTAGCGGTTTGCGATTTTGAACCGCAATCTCACGATTTCGGTCAACCCGTACCGGGAACTGCTTGAGAATTAGATCGCAAATGAAACTGCAACTTTAATGGTGCGGTGTGGATTAACCTCACAAGCGATTTGGAGCGGGTGGAACGGTTTGGACCGCACCAATGCCCACCCCTAGAAGTTAGACGTAGTTGTTCATAATATTAATAAGACGGGCAGTAGCAATCCCCAAAACACCATATAGAAGCCATTGTTTCATGCTGGGATCGCATTCACTGATTTGGCGTACGCCAAAATGTAATGAGTGGCCCTTGGAAGCGAGAAAATCAGCAATCCTGTTTTTCTCTTTATAAACATGATTAATAACAACATACCATTCACGTTCAATGAGGTTCCCAATCTTTGTTGCGAGTATCCCATGGCGGTGATTATCATCCCTCCAGTTTTGATGATATTAATCGCCATCATTGAGTCGAGATTAAGCTCGACCTTCTTGTGGCCTCTGTTCCAGGCTCTCTCCAACCCGTCGACAGCTCCTTTCAGCTCTGCATTAGTGATGGAGAACACCCCAAGATTGTAGGTGAAAGCGTCCAAGCAATTCCCCAAGCAATCCCTTAAGAGCTCGCCTACTGCGGCTGATCCTGTTGAAACCAACACAGAGCCATCTGATTGCACCTGAATCTAGCCGTCCCTAGGTGGCTTCCAAGCAATCTCCTACTCTGCCTTGGTCGAGCAGGTGTTCCCAAAACACATGACCGCACAGCGTTGCGCTTGTTTTTGGATGTTCAAGAAAGCCTCGACCTTGCAGATGACAGGAGACTTCGAGTATTTCTTCCCATCCATAATTTCTTCATTTCTCTGCTTCTAGAGAATCCAGCAAATGATGCCAAAATCCAGTCCCAACTTATCAGACCTGATATTCATATTAATCCAAGTTATGAAGTCAAGCCCTCTATTGTTGTCTTTGATCTTGGACCTGAAATGACTCCATATACCTTTGGCCTTTTTGTAGTGTCTCAAAATGCACTCCACTGTTTCCTCCTTATCTTCGCAGTGGTTACATTTTTCATTAGTCGTGAGCTGTCTTTTCTTCCTCTCAACATTGGTTAGGAGGTGGTTGTGGGTCACAAGCTAGAGGAAGAACTTGACTCTGTTCGGACCTTGCCATCTCTAAAGCTCCTTCCAAACATCATGCGCTGCCAGGTCGGCTTCATCAGCAACTAGGTTGTATGCGGATCTCAATCAGAACCTTCCATCCTTCTCCGCACCCCAAGTTGTTCTGTCCTCACCAAGTGCTGGTTTAGGAGTCTCCATACCTTCAATTCGCACCAAATTTTTATTAGGGAGGTACCTCTTGAGTCTATCCCAGTCTTACTCACCTTCTGCATTTAACCAATCAGCCACTGTCTCATTCTTCTCCTCCCAAGAAAGATTTTAGAGAGCAAACTCTTCAATAGTGGTTTCATTGTCCAGCCACAGATGGGTCCAAAATCCAATAGCTTTTCCATCATGCAAGCTCCAAACAATTCCTTTCCTCATGTAGGGCTTGGCCTTAAGAATAGATTTCCAGCGGCTCGAATGGTTACTTTCCTTCATTGTTGTAATCATGTCATTCCTCTAGTGGAAGTACTTTCCTTGAAGCACCTGCACCCACAAGTCTTTATTATTGTTAAGCATATGCTAGGCAAGCTTAACCATATGAGCCAAGTTCAAGCATCTAGTCGATCTAAGCCCCAATCCTCTTTGATTGTTTCGATTTGTAAACTGTATCCCAATTGACAAGATGAACCTTTCTCTTCCCTTCTTGAGAGCCCCACAAGAACCACCTTTGGCTCTTTCTTTCTCTGTTTACTTAGCTGGAACTTTCTTTCATAAGAATCGTGCTTTATTTACGAACCGTGATTGGTATAAATAACCATGGAAAAATCTTGTTGAAGTGCCAACCAAAACCCGACCCAATTTGGCCCATTGTCTTCTCCTTCTTCATTGCCTCCTTTCTCTTGCCCTCTTTAGATTTGGGCCACCAGAGAATAGAATCCAGCATTTCATGGGATCTATGCTTGGCAACTTGCCTTCTTTTGACCCAAATAATTTCAGCCAAATTCGGCCATCCGATCCTTCGACTCCATCTGTAAGTGCATACTCTCTTCGCCCCCGGGCAGTCAAAGCTCCATGTTACTATCTTTCTTTTTCACTGCAATTGCGTTTGTAGAGTTTTGATTCCTCTAATGAGTAGATTCGCTTGTCTTTTGGGTTTTTTTTGTTGATCTGCTGGAATGCCACCCAAGTTGTAGTGATGAGCTCAATGCATGTGATAAGAAACTCAACTAATTTATGGTGTTCCTTGCTCCAATTTTAGATTTCACTGAAGTTTGTGTGTTTATCTGCATGAAAACTTTTGTCCCTTTTCAGAGAGTAATTTTGTTTTGCCTTTGTCGAGTTGTTAGGACCTATTGTGCAGTTAGTTCTCCGAGTGCAATCTCAAGGTTCTTAAAAGAACTGCTTGGAAGAAGAAAATTGTGGCTGATCGAGAATGTACTATTGCTTGTTCTGCTACTCTCACCTTGATATATATGTATAGTGATGCATGGTGGTAGCAAAATCCTAAGGTTGCTTGGATTAGTTAAGGGTTGAATTATCAACAATGTGATTTGTCTTTTTCAGTATTACTAGTAACCATATCCATGTTTTTGCTGCCTCAGGTTGGTTGCAATTAGGGTTGTTTCTTCCTATGGCGGGGGTAGAACTTGGGATGGAAGTTGTTACTTGTTAATGTAACTCCTCAAAATTCTTGAGAATTTCATCCAGATTGTGATAGGACAACTAGATTTAAAGTAATAGTTCATTTAGATGCGAGAGCACTACATGTATGAGAGCTCTAACCACGAATTGCTAAAGCAATGCAATCCATTCAAACGTTGTGGACTTATGGTCGACCCCCACTTATTCCCTAGGCTGAGTTGAGTTTATAGAACAATGTCCTATTTAAGTATCCAGTTGTTGGTTGCTTCTTCAGCACATCTTTTTTCTCCCCTATACACGAGCTTATTGTCTTCTCTTGTAACTGTCTATTGCTTTTATCAAGTGTTGCCTTTGGTTGTGATTGAACCACAATTTCTTTGAAGGAACATTTAATAGTAGTGCATTGCATGGTACTAACATTTGAACTGTCACATGCAATTTTTTTTTTGTCAATAGCATGTTACGGATACTTTCTACAAAATTCGATTACGACGTGGGAGGAATTACGTGGAATCATGAGAAGCAGGTTTATTCCTGCCTATTATCAACATGAAATCTATGAATCCCTGCAAGGAATTCGATAGGGAGCGAGGAGCGTGGAATGTTGATGATGCGCGTCAACGTCAGGGAGGACCAGGAAGCCAAGATTGCCCGTTTTCTCCATGGATTAAATAGGGAAATTCAGCAGGAGGTCAAGCTCAGAGCATTCGTCGACTTGGAGGACGCCTTACACCTTGCAATCAAGGTCGAAAAGTAGCAGAAATCAGCAAGGAGGGGCACTCTGGTGAGCAAATCGATTACAGAACCCAATGTCGAAGCTAATTCCCAGCAATTGCGACCCGACCCAGGAAAATTGAATCCAAGGAACGCTCACCCAACCTTTAATGAACGCTCTGGAGGGATACAGTGCTACAAGTGCCACGGGAGAGGGCACAAGGCCAACCAGAGTCCTCATTTGAAGACTCTGGTTATCAGAGACGGCGAGTTTGTCACTGACGACGAGCAAAATTCCAACGGCGAGGAAGTTGATGAGAAAATTGAAGCCAAGCCTCCACCTGGCAAGCTTCTCGCCGTCAGTCGAAGAGCTTTAACCATAGAGACGCAACAAGATTCGAGCCAAAGGGAAATTTTATTTCATTCCTGTTGTTTGGTTTCCGGAAAGCTTCTGTCGTTGATCGTTGATGGAGGCAGCTGTGCCAACATCATCAGCCAGGATGCTGTGGAAAAACTCGGATTAAGAACTACCAGGAATCCAGACCCTTATAACCTGCATTGGCTTAACGATTATGGAGTCGTTCAAGTGTCAAGCCAAGCACGAGTGAAGTTTGAAATCGAAGCTTACCATGACGAGCTCAAATTTGACGTCGCCCCGATGCAAGCCGCGCATTTACTTCTTGCGAGGCCCTGGCAATTCGATCGAGGTGTATGCCACTATGGAGGGTCGAACTACTACAAGGTTCAACACAAGGGAAAGGAAATTATGCTTAAGCCCCTGTCAACGGAAGAAGTCCGATAAGATCGACGGCAGCTTGAAGCCAGTCAACGTCGAACCAAAGGTAAATCAAGTGGTAAGTCAGGCGAGGGAGACAATGCCACCACCATTCACTTGGTGATACCTGTTCAGTGGGTACAAGAAAGAAAGGAAGATTCATCGTCGTCGACCCTGCAGACCGTTGCCAGAGCAGAGCAGGAGAGAAGGGGAATTCGTCGGAGCAACTGGAGAAGAGTCGGACCAAACGGGGAGTGCAGGCTCATTCCAAATTATGTCAGGAAGCTCATGTGACAGTAGGGATGAAGCGGGCATACTTGGATTACAAGATCCAATTCGAGCATAATTTGCTCTGAAAACGACCGAACTCGAGCAAAATTCGAGTCTATGGGTTGCCGCAAGTGGGATGAATCGAAGCAATTGGATGATGCAGAATCATTCAGGGTGATCACAGGAAGCTCTCAGGTTCGTCCATTCCACCCAGAGATCTCTATATCCTAACGCCCAATTTTCAATTAGAATTTTTGGGTTCGAAGAGTTTGAACTTCAACGATGGCGGGAAAAGGGCTGACAACGATTCGATGACGGGGAGGATGATTCGAGGCACGAGCCCTAAACAAAACTTCAATTCGATGCCTGCTAAAGCCAATGGTGGCCCTGAATTGCTCTACAGATCCTTGGAGAAGAAAGCCCCAATTTGGTTGCTAAAGAACACTACCTCGACTTTTCAAAAATTTCAGTTCGAGCAACATTTTATCGACCCAATTTGGGAGCGATTCTGTGAGACCTATGAAGAAAGGAGGACCAAAGCTTTGAGGTCAAAGATTTTGTATGGGGGAGGGACTGATATGATCCCAATTGGATCAATACACAAGTCAGAATTGCTTGATCAAACAACAACCTCAGTCACTAACAACAACTCTGATTTTTTGCTAAGTCTATTTTCAGTCTCAGGTTACCCACTCTGCAGGCTTGGTTCTTCCACTCTGCTTGATGAAAATGCAAGTTTGATGGCTTGTATTGGAGAAGCGATGTTTGTCTACACTCTGGAATGTTTGGAAGCTCGAGGAAAAGCTCAGAAGGCCACTTTTCAAGCTTCCCAAAATACTAGCTCAAAACCGGGAAAATGTCCAAGAATGGCTAAGACATGGAACAGTTTTGAGAAGCTCACTTGGGAGCTCGATTCCAGAAGATTGAGTGAGAGTCGAGTTCCAAGGATAGTATCCCATGAAAGTAGGTTTCTTCTACTTCATCGACAAGGCATTGGATGATCGACGGGTTACCTGGAAGGGCTCGAACGAAAGCTCCAAAGATCGTGGCCACATTTTCTGCCTTTGGAATTCAACAAATTCTAATCCTTCTCGAATTAGGATTAGAACACTACTTGTAAATTTAATTCGTTTGTGTGTTCAATTTGGATTCCTTTTCATAGTAGAATGTAATAAGAACTATTCTAAGAGAGTTAGGATTAGCTAGGTCTATTTAAGTAGTTTTGATTCGTTGTAATTTCCAGTTTTTCAGTTGAATTGAATAAACCGTGAGGTTGAGTTCCATAGCATCTTGCTTTGTGAATTTGGAGGACTTCCTAGTTGAATCTAGGTGGGTTTTCTGGCTTGTATCATTCAGTTAGACCCACTGTTTGTGGCCAAGCATCTACCCTACGTTTTCGAGCCTCTCTTCCTTTCGAGAAGGTTGCATGAAATCACCATCCCAAACACGAACTCAAAATCTGTTTTGTGTTCTTCATTACAGAGTTTTTGATTCAATCTATGGATTGAATCTAGCTGTGCTTCTCTAATTCAAAACTACCCATCTAGGGGGTTATCATTCTCTAATCTTCCTTCTTATTTTCGCCTTTGGGTAGATTGATTGACCAAAATCATTGTTTAGTTTGCATTTTTGTTATTGATTCAGCCGTTGGATGAAGATAACTAGAGCAGAGAGAGACACCCCAATCTTTCTTTCTTCTGAAAGTTCCATCGATGATCTTATATGATATGGTTAGAGAGATGGCTGGTTGATTTGGTACTTGTAACATTAGAGGAATGACAAGTGAATGAAATGGAAGGTTTTAGAGTTTTCTTTTGCGCACACCACAACATATTGGAGTGCGATCTAATTTTGGTAGGCATTTTGAATTTGTGGGAATCTTAGATTTTTCAATCATCCATTCTGAAAATGCATGTAATGAGAACTATAGGGTCGGTACGAAGTGGATTTTCATGGAATATGATTTCACTGATGATCGTATGCACTTTTTCTGGTAAGGTGGAAGGAGAATGATTGAATTCACTTCAAAAATAATATCCTCAGTTTGATAATTGTGACACGTTGATGAAAATGAGATCACATACCATTTTGAAGCTAAATTATATTAGGGTTCAAATTAGGGATGAAACCGGGTCAAATTCAATCATGGCCATGCCACTATCCTAAGAAACCCGGCCCTATAGGGTCAAGCAGCCAAATTGACCTGTCTGTCCCTCCCTATTTAGCTATTCTCCTTTGGTCCTGTCTGTAGAGGTAGGATAGGTTGGGATGGCGGAACGAGTGAGTCGTCTCATATCAATAAATACTGTTTTTGAAAATACACTTTGATATTTAAATTTATTTTTTCTTACAATTTAGTACCTCAATTTTATTTTATTTTTACAAAAATGTGCAAAAATTTTGACAGTAAATAACGTAGTATCTTTGTATTAATTTATCTTGCATTAAAGTACCTAAACTTTTAAAACCGTACAAACAGGTCCAATGTGTTAGTATGAGAAATTTCATATCACTGGTTGTTGTTATTAGTCATAGCCTCACAGGCCAAAAAACGACCCAAACCTAAATTGACCCAACTTGACCATTATCAGGCCAAAAGATTACCCGATCCTAACTGACCTTGTAGACAAACTGAACAAGCCAGACACTTAAGGTTGGGTCAGGCCGGGCCAGTAGATATTTAGGATCAGACTTACAGTCTCAGATCAACCTTTTGTCAATAAAATCATATATCGAATTAGCTTTTTTTTTTTTACAACAAGGCTATCACATTTCCATTACCTGTGGCATAAGACAAATGTTACAAAGGGGGGCTACAACATCCAGAATATTTATCCATTCAGATGGGAGATGGTTCTTTGCGCGGGATCTAGCAACCCAGTTCGCTTTCGAGTTGCTCTTTCGACCAATATGTTTGATCTTAATCAAAGGGTTAGCCTCCAAAATCTGTCTGATGGCGCCAATCCATGCTGCTGCACGCCACGACCACGTTTTATGTTGGCTATGAACTGCATGCACCAAAGAAAGGCAATCTGAACGAACCAGACAGGGCGAATTTAACCCAGTAGCCGAGAGAGAGCCTTCCAACAAGGCTTTGGCTTTTGCTTCAAGCGGGGAAAAGCAATGCAATGCCTCAGCTTTACCGTCACACACTTGACCATGGCTGTTCGATATAACGACGCCATATGCCGCCTCCTGGGAATCGCTAAAAAGTGATCCATCACAGTGTATCTTATAATCATGAGAACTTGGCGGTGATGAAGAGTGCTCTGGGGTGGTTGGAGTTGAGAGGGAGATGGGCCAGCGAGAGACTTTTTGGGGAAGTTGCTCCATTGTTGATGAGCGTTGGAGACCTTCGTGATCGTGGCGGGAGGCCAGCGGGGTGCATTTTTTAAGATTCTTTCGTTCCTCGTTTTCCAGGTCTGCCACATTAGGAAAATGATCTTTTGGATTGAGACGATTGAATACCTGGATCTCAGAGAGTCGAGCTATTCGAGTGTCGGGGTAAGAGGAGGGGGTGCAGGTAGGGATGGCCATTCTTGTCTCCACCCTTCTGCTGCATGACGGCACAGAAATAAACAGTGCTGGATAGACTCTGCAGGGTAATCAGACAACGGGCAAGCCTTTGAAGGGTAGCAGTTCCTCGCATGGAGTTTTTCCTTTGACGCCAGGGCACCTTTCGAAGCCCTCCATACGAAGAACTTTAGCTTAGGTGGAATGGATAAGCTCCAAAGCCACTTCCATCTATCTTTACTCTCCTCCGACACCATTTCATAGTGGCCTTGTGCAAGTCTAAAGCGGTGGTGGAAGTGGTGGAAAGCTGATTTAACCGTGAAAGCCCCATTCTCTGCGAACCTCCATGCCCAAAAGTCCTGTAGGGAAGAAGGGCCAATAGGAGTACCCGCCACCATACTCAAATCATGTGGACTAAGAAAATCTGCAAGGAGATCGAATCTCAATTCCCGTGAGACCTCATCAATCCAGCTAACAGCATTAGAGTTATCTGGCCATTCAAACTGGAGCAAGGTCCCTGCCCGGTCAAACCTCCAAGGATCCTAAAACATTTTGATTGTTCTACCATTGCCAATGACCCTTACACACCCTGTCCCATCCATTTTTCGCTTCACACAGACTGTTCCATATCCACGAAGCCTTGCCCCCCTTCTTAGCATTCAAAAAGTCAGATTTTGGGAAGTAAATGCTTTTAAGGACCTTGACCCACAGAGCATCAGCGTTGGTGAGCACTCTCCAAGCCTGTTTTGCTAGAAGCGCGAGATTGAAGATATGGAAAGGTCTAAAGTCCAATCCCCCTTCTTCCTTTGGTAGATGGTTTTTCTCGATCGAGAGATAAGCTGGGTAATGGCGCTGTCAGTTTTGACTTTGGACTTGGGAGTCAAGGCCCAAGAAGGCGGGCTGCAAACCCAGTTCATGTGCTCTATATTTTAGCGTAAACCTCTATAAGCTTTGCCGGTAAAAGAGCACACTTTAGAAGAAAATGCTTCAGAATTTTTTCCCTGCCACCAACCACGCCTCGTATTCAATCAATAAACCCTGTTTTTCTATTGACAAAGTGAATAAAGAACTCTGGTTTATCTGTCTAAAATTTCAAATAAACAAAGTTAGGAAGTTTTACTACTAGGCCATCCTCAGCAGCGATCACCCGGACCTTCCGAACAGGACAAAACTCACATTACCAGAATCCAACGTTCTATATATGCCACCCATACCACAACTCTACTCAACAAATACTATAGCGGCAGCTACGGCTCACTTCTTGTTAGCTGCTGTTTGTCGTCTGCAACCAACAGTTTTCTCTTCTCATTCAGAGAAAAATCAAATTTCCCCGATGGCCATGGCCGCGGCCACCAATTTCTGCGCCTCTTCTTCAATCTCCTCGACGCAGAAGACGGCAGCAGCTCTTCCTTCTTTACAGGGTCAGACTTGCTCCCTGCCTTCGAGACATCGTCATCTTCTCCCTGCCGGCCGGAGACCAGCCGGGCTTTCCGTGGCGGCGACGGCTGCGCCCACCGCAATTCAACAGGTGGACGGAGCTACAAGCTCCGGCAAAGCTTCCAAGGCTCTGCCTTTTAGAGTGGGTCATGGGTTCGATCTCCATCGGCTGGAGCCTGGATACCCTTTGATCATCGGCGGGATTAACATTCCTCACGAAAGAGGCTGCGAGGCTCACTCCGATGGTAAAGAACACATATTTCTTTACCATTTTTTGTCAATTGAATAGGGATTCAACTTGGGCTGATTGATTTCGTTGGTGGGGTAGTTGTGCCATTGGGGATTGGTTTTGGCTATCGAGTGTTTCAGGAAATGTTTGTGATGATTCAGAATCAGAACCAATTTTTGACTTACTATATTAGAACCCTAGATGGAATTCAGAACCAATTCTTTTGTTTTTGTATCGGGTTTTTTTACAGGAGATGTGTTGCTGCACTGTGTTGTGGATGCTATACTGGGAGCACTGAGTCTGCCTGATATTGGACAGATTTTCCCTGATAATGATCCTAAGTGGAAGGGAGCAGCTTCTTCTGTTTTCATCAAAGAAGCTGTGAGTCTTTCTGATTCATGATTTCTGTTGTCTAGGAATTGCTTGATGGAGTTATCTTAATGGCTGAAAGTTTGTGTTCACTATCCTTGGCTGGATTTTAACACTGCATTCGTGGTTAGTGGACTTGATATATCAAGATACTGTCTCATAAGATTGAAGCTTAACGGAGTGGAATCAAAACCTGTTTGAGATACTTGTTATTGGAGAAGAACCGAGCTGAAATTTGTAATCAGAGATTTTTTGGACTTCCATCACTATCCCCTGAATTGCTTAACCAAGGTGACTTGGTTTCATCTCAGTTAATGCTCTACTGGTAGTCTCGAGGTTGATTCAAATCTGGTTTTCCTGTAGCCTGTAGTATCCCAGTTATAAAAGCTAAAGCTTTTACTTTGTTCCCTTTAAAGTTGTAGAATTTCCATGTTGTTGTGATCTGCTGCAACCACAGCTTGAAAGATTTTGGAGTTCTTGAAGTTAGGATGAGCTTTAGAGATGCATAAACCCGGGATCTGTTGTGGACTCTTGCTTAAATTGTTTGATTTGTCGCAGTAGATAGATGGCCTTCCTTCACCATGCACTTTCCATGTGTTTTTAAGAGCTACAAAACTAAAATTGAGGCATACATCATTATATCAAGTTAGGGAGACATTATCATCTGCCTTAGCCATTCAGCTGGAGGATTGTTGTGTTGGCAGCTTGCAAACTTTTGAAGCCACATGGAGCAGAGGGTACCTTCTTGTGTGCTTCACATGTTCTTTACTATGTATCATGATTTGAACTGTTATGTGAAGTACATACATACGCATTGGTCAGTCCATATTGCCGAAAAGCCTAACCCTCCATTTCCTGCCTCTGTCTCAGGTGAGGCTGATGCACGAGGCTGGTTATGAGATTGGAAACTTAGATGCCACCTTGATTCTTCAAAGACCGAAACTGAGCCCGTTCAAAGAAGCCATCAGGGCCAACTTGTGTGAACTACTGGGAGCAGACCCTGCTGCTGTAAACTTGAAGGCCAAAACCCATGAGAAGGTCGACAGTCTGGGCGAGAACAGAAGTATCGCTGCCCATACCGTCGTTCTCCTAATGAAGAAGTGACGATGCCAGAACTCCCCCACAGCTGCCGATCAACATGCAAATTGGTGTGCCTCTTCTTTGGCATGTTGTAAGCTTGAACAAACAATACCTTCTAGCAGTCGGAACAGTAATCTCGTGTACGTACACAGTTGATTTGGAAGATTTTCGTCTGTATATCTAAAAAATACTATAAGCCAATGTCAAAATAGAGCTTTTGTCACGTCAGCCCCTACTGCAACCACCGTACACTGTGGAGGGTCTTTCACGTCAATTCACCAATTCTTCTCTTCTCGCATTCTGATTTAATTTCCATTCTCCCAACGGAAATCGAATCCTTTTATCTGGCGATACCTTCTGTAACCGTCCCGAGTCTTCCAATCCTTGCCGGATTCGAAGACGTTCCTCTAGCCCAAAGCTACCGGAGAATGGCCAATACATTCATTCTTGCAATCCCTAACGTAATAGAAGCCCTCTGTTCTGTCTTTGTGCTTTGTCGCCATACCTCAGGGAAAAGCCCTTTCATCTGACCTATCGTCGACGACCTGTGTATCTGTTAGCTAGGTCTTGCTGCTGCTACTACTCTTTCAACCAGAACCTCCAAAACTCGAATATCCTTAAACCGAAGGCATATCTCCTATTCCGGTAAATTCCCTAACTTTGATCTATTTGGATTTTGCCTTCTATGAATCTGTAAATGTGATTTCCTTGCCGCCTTTGTACCGTAATTTTTTCTTTTCAAATGCGATTCGATCCAACTGCAGAGTATTACCCATTGTCACTGTTGTTTTAAGTTGTGTATAATCTGTTTTTTTTTATGAGAACTAGACTCAATCTCATCTATTGGTTGATTCTGGATTCTTCAATATTTACTAAGTTTGAAGCTTTAGATTGTACATAGTTTGGTTTATTATTATTATTATCTAAAGACAATATATAGGGATTTGATATGGAAAATGTTATGGAGCTGTTTGGTGGTTGTTAGAGTATTTTATACATTACCCGGTCAATGGGCCGGGCCCAATACTAGTATAGGGTATAAGAGAAGTATTCTCTTCCCTTTGCAAGGTTCTACTTCAAATCGAGGCCGCAGTGTGTTTCGAAACATATTTCTGAGGTGTTAAAGAAAAGCTTATTAGCTCTTTCTAAACATGTGGCGTTTTGAATGTAGAACACTGGATTTTCTCTCAGTGAACTGGATTGTTTCTGTTAAATGGTTGATCTCCAATTTTGGTCGTGGAAACAAATACTTGTCACGGATGATCTTCAAGCCGGCCGGAGTGAGTATGTCGAGCTAGATCCGCGAAGGCTCAATGCTCGATATCTTTGGACCTGTGCCAATTTATTTGGATCCATTAAGACCCAAGGCCCACAAGGAGATTCAGGGCCATGATTCCTTGTGATATCCATTTCAACTTTCAAGTACTGGAGCTCGCAATTGGAGGCGTAGGAAGCGCAAGCAAAGATCAAGCCATCGTCACGACGAATCAAAGTGCATACCTAACGTTAACTGCAACATTGAGGATAAGGTCGCTTTTAAGGTGATATGATCCCAATTGGATCAATCCACAATTCACAATTACTTGCCAAAGAAGTTATCTCAATTAACTTGAAGCATTCTGATTTTTGGCTAAGTGTTGAAACAGTGTCAGGTAGCCTACTTTGGAAGCTTGTATCTCACAAATGGCGCAATGGAAATTGGAGATCAAGAGTTTGTTTTGCAGATAAAGTTTCCATGTTTCCAATGGTATTATTTTTGGAGCCAGATGATGTCATTAAGATTGTTTTCCAAGGTCTCAAAGTTGCTACCTCAAAACTGGAAAACTGCCCGAAAATGGCTAAGGCAGAAAACTGTGTTGAGATACCAACTTTGAAGGCCTATATCTGGAGTTTGGAGCAAGATCTCAGGCTGATTCAAGTTGGAGGTGAAATAGGAAGTTTTCTTCTACAAAGTAAAGGAATTGGTTGAGTTCGGAGCAACCTAGAAGACCATTTTCGAAGGGCTCAAAGATGCTATGAAGCCTGTTTTCCTAGGCAGACTTGCTTGTGTTTTAAGTCAGTTTCTTGGCCAGCAAGTTACCTTGTTTTACTCAAATTCTTTAGCTTATTCCTGTTCTAATTAGTTTCCTTGTTCATGTAGGGTTGTATTAGGGTTTATTGTCTTTAAATACCTTTCCAATTCACGTTGTAAAGCAGAGTTGAGTTGAATGAAAATTGCTCCTTTGTGAGAATTGTGTTCTTTGAGAGTTCTCAAGAATCAAATCCTTGAGTTAGTTTTGTGAGGATTCCATTGCTAATTCGAGAACCCTTGTTAATCTTTTCTGTGAGGATTCCAGAATCGGTTTACGAGTTTTCTTATCAATCAAGTAATCACCTTGATTGTGGCGAAATTCTACCTTTTCCATCATTATCGTTCGAGAGTGTGTTTGCTGCGTTACTTTGATCAAAAACACCCCGAGTTTTCTTATCAATCAAGTAATCACCTTGATTGTGGCGAAAAACTACATTTTCCATCATTATCGTTCGAGAGTGTGTTTGCTGCGTTACTTTGATAAAAAACACCCCCTGGTGCTTTATCATAAGGGGAGGGAATTGTTAGAAACAACGAGAATTAGGTTCGGCTCTATTACTTTTTTTGTTTAATTAGCGTTAGGAGCCCATTAGTGCCGAGTAGTTAAGGATAAAATTAGGATTAATTATAAGGTTATTCCCGTCTATTTCCTATATATATGTACGTTAGGTATTACATCATAATTAATAAGAAAAGTATTATCAAAGTGCCTCTCAAAATCCTAATCTCTCTTCTAAATCACTAATCCCCAATTTCTATCAATTCCCAATTCTATTTGAAACTCTAAAGAAGAGTAGTTCTAACAGTAGGCTCATAATCCCGAATTACACCGCGGTTAGGGGTGGCAGATCGGTTTCCGGTTAGCGGCTAACCGGCGGTTTTAACCGCTAACCGCCGGTTAGTCACTAACCGAAAACCGGCCGGTTATTAGTCGCGGTCGGTGTTCGGCAAGACTGAAGGTTTCTCCGGTTAGCCGAGTAACCGAAGGCGGTTAACCGCGGTTAACCGGCCGACCGACCCACAACCGAAAAATATAAAAAAGAGGAGGAATAAACCCTAAATCCCAAAATATTCCGCCCTCACCTCCACAGACACCAATCCCAAAAGAGGAACTTCCATCGGCAGAAACCCACTCCCAATCCCTCCCAGCACCAACCGCCGCCCTCCCCTGCCTCCTCCGCTCCCCCTCCTTCCACCGCCACCACAACTTCCTCCACGACCATCGTTCCTGGTTCCGCCGGCGCGCTCGCGGTGAAGAAGCCGCCTTCGAAGGACAAGCACAGGCACAACAAGGTCGACAGGCACCGGGAAGACTCCGGCGAGCTTCTCCACCGTCTCCGCCTCCGTTCGCTCCGCCGTCTCCGCCTCCGTTCGCTCCGCCGCTGGCCCCAGCCTGGCTACTCTGTCGTCGCTGTCGAAGACCTCCTCCTCCCCGGCGCCCTCGATTGCGCCCTCCTTGGGCTCGTCGCTGTGGTCACGGTCGTCGTCGTGGGTGCCGGAGCCGCTCTCGATTGTGGCGTTGGCGGCGTTGGAGATGGAGATGCCGAGATCTGTTGATTCTGCTGGAGCTTGGTGGTGGATGTGTAGAAATCGAGATCAGTAGTAGACGCTGGAGGGTGGTTGTTGGCGCTTTCGTGTGGGTTCGTCCGGCCAGGGAAGCGAGAGAGAGAGAGAGAGAGAGAGAGAGAGAGAGAGAGAGAGAGAGAGAGAGAGAGGATGGAGTGCTTGGAGGGTGTGAGATTGAATATTTTTGGTTGGAGAGAGAGAGAGAGGGAGGAGGGGATAAGAAAGGAGTGGTGGAGATTTTGTTGTTTTATTTAATTAATTTTTAGTTTTTTTTTAAATGTATTTTTTTTCGGTTGGTCGGCTAACCGAGCCTAAAACCGGAACCGACCGGTCGGTTGGCCGACTAACCATTACATCTTTTCGGTCGGTGGTCGGCATCTATAGGGGTGGCTCGGTTTAACCGATAACCGGGTTTTCGGTTTTCGGTTAAACCGAAACCGACCGACTGCCACCCCTAACCGCGGTACAACCTCTGATCTAAGATCGGATCTGAAATATTAATGATAGAACACTTATAAGAATTTGAATTTCATATCCCTTCTATTCTTTGTAAACATGCTAAACACAACCCTCGTGGAATTTGTCCATCAATGCTTGAATACCAGTGTGCCTCATCAGTCTCTACGATCAAATGGTATTTATTCTATGTAATTTTGATGGTGAAACGAGGAATAATCTCTTCTTTTACTATTCATTTTCGAGATTTATTAATTGTTCCCCAAATGCCTGGTCTAATTTCGGCAATGGAGTAGAGTACGTTAAATCGTTAATAACCTCCCAAAGGGAGTATGACCATTTGAAAGTTCAACTACAGTTGTCGTACCGGGGCACATGATTCATTTTTTTTTTTTTAACTGGAATTTGACATTTGTTTTTAATTCCTTTTTCCCTCCTTAACTATAATTGTCATCTTGGTCTTGAACTCTACAGCAAACCATCATTGAAACCCCAGCGCTTAGAAGCTGTTGTAAAAATTATGAGAATTTGATTTTCATGTTCAAAGCATTGAACGGATTTTCCTGGGTTTCAAAAGGATCAAAAGATTGGACTTTCTGTTGAATAGTGCAAAAAAGTCCAGCCCAAGGCAGTAGAAGGGGAAAGAGAGGAGTACTGGATTCAATGGAAACAATTCATCCACTTGATGAGAAGAATAATGCTTGCGAATTCCACTATAAATTCTTCCAGTATTCCTATTCCACTGTTATAGTCCAAGGCGGCAAAACATGCATACGGATTTCACCCTGAGTACTGTAGAACTCCCCATATATATATATGGCAAAGACTAGCGTACGGGCGTACGCTAGCCTACCGTACGCTCCATTGAGTTTTGCTATTTAGAGAAAGAATTAATTTGAGTTTGGGACAAGATACTATACCCTAACCCCTAATGGGTGAATCCCAGTCCCCAATTCACTAACCCAAAGCACGAGATTCGTTTAATCTTAAAAATGAAAATCAACGATTCCGATTCGTCGAAATTTTCATTGGTTTTCATTTTAAGATTAAACGAACCTCATGGTTTTGGTTAGAAAATTAGGGACTAGGGTTCACCCATTAGAGGTTAGGGTATAGTATCAACTAAAATATTTTAATTTGTAAAATTATAGCTAATTTTATTATATTTAATACAGACCATCAGATTAAATCAACGGTGTAGAAAATCTGGCGCATGCGAGGAGCATACGAGTGTGACCTATATATATATATATATG